TTGCTCAGGTGGCCTCTGATGAGGATGTGGTAGTGCAGACTGAAGTGGATAATGGAACTGTTGTGGTAAGTATGGTGTCCAAAGGGAAGGAGGTGGATCTTAGTGGGCAGGAAGCTCCTACTCCCACGCCTATTGGGAGTACAACTGCTAGTTTTGTTGATGTTGTCCTAGGATCATCAGTCTAGGCTGGGAGTCCTAGTCAACCGATACAAAAGTTTGTTGGGACTATCTCACCAGATTCTGGGAGGGTAGCCTCTCAGACACCTACAGCTGATAAGGAGAAAGAACCTAACCCATGGATTATGGTTGGAAGTACTAAACAGAAGCCATCTACACCTCGTGTTTCACCAGTTCTTCCTCGTAAAGGGGGAAGGGCTGGAAAGAAGAGATGAAGATTCTCACTTGGAACATCCGGGGGTTTAATAACCCGGATAAGAATAAAGCTGTTAGACAACTAGTTAATAGATATAATGTTGATATACTAGTTATACTTGAGCCTAGAGTTAGGCAAAATAAGGAAGAAGAATTGATAAGTAAGCGTTTTCTAGGTTGGGAGTATAAAGTGTCAAACAATTCTAGTGATTTGGGCAAGTTATGGTTACTTTGGAAGTCTGATATTCAGCTTATTGTTCTTCATAAGACAGATCAGTTCATTCATATGATGGTTGCTTCAGTTGTCCCGTTTTTCCTCTCAGTGGTTTATGCATCAAATGAGGAACAAGGTGGAAGGGTTCTTTATAGTGACTTGGACGTTTTTAGAGCTGGCTCAGCTCCATGGGCAGTGCTGGGGGATTTTAATGCAATTGGTGATGTTAGTGTGGCTTCTAATTCGCCTCAATTCTCTAGTAGCATGTCTAATTTCAGGCAGTGGCAATTTGATTGCGAGTTAGAGGAGCACAAGGCATCTGGCCCGTGGTTCACGTGGATAAACAAGCAATTGGGAAATCCAATTGCTAGGAGGCTGGACCGTGTGTTTGTCAATGTCAAGTGGCTTGAGGATTTAAAATCTAGTACTGTTGATCTTTTGGATCCATCAGTGTCAGATCACTGTCCAATACTTCTAAATACTGATAGTTCTGTTAAATCTTTGCCAAAGCTCTTCAAGTTCTTCAAATTCTGGATCAAGAATCATATGTTTATGGATCTGGTAAAGGAGGCTTGGATGGTGCAAGTAGATGGGTCGCCTTTAGTTTGTGTTTGTAAGAAGCTGAAGATCCTTAAAGGGTTACTCAAGAAGTTAAATAAAGATGTCTACTCTAATTTGAGTGAAAGAGTTCGTTTAAAGGCGGCAGAATTGTTGGAAGCTCAGGCTGAGGCCTTAAAGAACCCTTCTCCTGTAACTTTTGAAGTGGAGCTTAGACTTGCTGGAGAGGCTAAAGAGTTAAGAGAGGCTGAAGAGTCTTTCTTTCGACAGAAGTCTAGAGAATTTTGGCTCAAAGAGGGTGACTCGAACACTCCTTATTTCCATAATTCAGTTAAAAGTCGACAGAAGAGGAACATGATCAGATCACTACTTGATGAGTCTGGCCTGAGGGTAACAGATACTGATGGGATGTCCAGGATTGATGAGTGCTTCTATAGGAAGCTGTTGGGGGAACAGGATAAAGAAGTAGTTCTTTCAGAAGTTGCCCAGATCAAGAGAATTTTGATGAAAACATTACTGCCTGAACAGGGGGTGGAGCTTTGCTGTCCTATCACCGTTGAGGAAGTACGCTCTACTTTGTTTGGCTTCCATGAAGAGAAGGCACCTGGCCCTGATGGTTTCCCAGCTTACTTTTTCCAGGAAGCTTGGAGTATTATTGGAGAGGAGGTAAGGTAACTAATGCCATTCTTTATTGTTTTCATGTGTCTAATATACCTGTGAGTATAAATTCCACTCTCCTTGCCCTTATTCATAAGATCCAGAACCCTGAGGAAATGAAATTTTTTAGGCCAATATCCTGTTGCAACATACTATATAAATGTATGGCCAAAATCTTATCTACTAGACTAAGCTCTGTCATGCCTAGCATTATAAGTGAATCCCAGACTGCTTTTGTTAAAGGAAGAGTCATTTGGGAGAATATTCTACTTGCACATGAACTGGTCCAGAAATATGGTAGAAAGAATATCTCTCCTAGGTCCTTAAAAGGGTTGATCTGATGAAGGCATTTGACTCAGTAGATTGGGGGTTCCTTTTCAATGTTTTACAAGCTATGGGGATCCCTGATAAATTCTTAAAGTGGCTGAGAATGTGTGTGACAACACCAAAGTTGAGTATGGGATTTAATGGTGGGTCAGTTGGATATTTTTATGCTAAGAAGGGCTTGAGGCAGGGGGATCCCCTTTCACCCTATATGTTTGCAGTGGCTATGTAAATTTTCTCTTGTCTTATGAATGAGGTTGTTAAGCAGAATGAAATGCCTTTCCACCCTATGTGTAAGAGGCTAAAGCTAACTCATATAATGTTTGCTGATGATCTATTATTATTCTCTGATGGATCTAGTTTTGGGATTCAATGTATTAAAAAAGTCTTGACTGAGTTTAGGAGAATGTCTGGTCTTCAATCGAACCCAGCAAAAAGTGAGTTATATTGTGGTGGGATCAGTGAGCAATGACAAGAGTCAATGGCAAGTTATTCAGGGTATAAGTTGGGGGTTCTTCCTGTTCGTTACCTAGGCCTTCCCTTGTTGGCAGGTAAACTAACTATTACAGCCTGTGCTCCTCTTATTGAAAAAGTTACAAGAAGAATTACCAGTTGGAAGTCAAAGTCTTTGACATATGCTGGCAAATTTCAGTTGGTTACGTCAGTGTTGTATAGTCTTACTAAGTTCTGGATGCCCCTCTTTATCCTTCCAAAAGCATTTATAAGAGCTATTGAGAAACTATGTAGTGACTTCCTGTGGGGGGTGGGATATGGTACTCGAAAAAAGGCAGTGGTTGCTTGGTCTAGGGTCACTTTTCCCAAGAAGGAAGGTAGGCTGGGACTGAGAGATATGGCCTCTTGGAACTTTGCCTGTGTTACAAGGCATATTTGGGCTATCCTTTTGAAAGAAGGGTCTTTAATGGTGGCCTGGATATGGGAATACAGAATCAAGAGAACTGATTTTTGGCCTTTAACCACCAAGGCAGGTTCTTGACTTTGGCTTAAACTGCTAAAGAGTAGGGACAAGTTGAGAAATTGGCTAAATGTGGAGGATGATTGAGTTCATTGGAAAGGGGATCTAACGGTAAAGTTCAAGATTAAGAAAGTTTGGGAGGAAATCAGACCTAAAAGAGCCCCTGTTCAGTGGAGCTCTCTGGTTTGGAAGGGACCTTGTATTCCAAGAAACCAGTTCCTGGAGTGGCTTATTGTTAACGATTACATAGTGACAGGTGACAAAGCTCAAGGGTGGGGGCTTACTGGCAGTCACTGCTATGTTTTCTGTTCTCTCGCCCTGGAAACACGTTCTCATTTATTTGTTGAATGTCGATTATACAGGCAATTGTTTGCAGCTCTGTTCCCTAAATATTCAGATCGTATTCATGGGAACTAGTGGCTGGAGGAGCTTCAGTGGGCATCCTTGCATTTTCAAAAGAAGAATGTTGCTGCTCAGGTTGGGAGAGTTATTTGGCATAGTTTGATTGCCACCACTTGGAGGGAAAGATGCAGAGTGAAAATTTGGAGAAAGTGTGCTTGATATCAATGAGCTAATCCGTCGGGTGAAGAGTGACTTGAGGTTGTTTCTTGAACCGTTGTGTTTGGACCAGTTTTTCTAGTTTTATACTTTGTATGAGTTAGTTTGTTCTGCTTGTTAGGCAGTTTACATGTGATTACTTGTCTATAGGTTTCCTTTGCTCAGTTGGCAGAGTATGTTGCCAACAAGTTTTGCTAATTTTTGATGAAATAGAAATCCCAACCAATTCATAAAAAAACTTTTAAAAACTTCCAAAACTACATTTTAACAAGTTTTTATCTAATATATAAATTAAAAAACCTTCTAAACATAATATTACTAAAATGGCTAATCAATATTGTCAATAAAATAGATAAATTAGTAAAAATAATAAACAAATATCAAGAAGAATAATAAATATATAGAATATAATAATAAATATTTAAAATTAATATTAGAAGATCTATTTAAACCCCTAATCCAATTAGAAGTACCATTAAAAATAGTTCAAATAGAACCTAATCGATCATCAATACATTAAGACTAAAGAAGGATAAATGGAACACAATCAGAAAGAATTAAATATATTCCATTAATTGAAGATACTTATAATGATGATAATTGATTCTACATTTCCTATTCAAAAATTGGTTTGGTATCAGAGTCTTCGAAAGAGGATTCCAACAAAATAATTCATAGGATATATTTGCTTCAGAGAATAATTCAATTATTAGTAAACCTAATGATAATGTAAAATACCTATAACAATAATTTATTCTAAATTATCTATTCAGAAATTAATTTGGTATCAAGTCTTCAAAAGAGGATACCAACTAAATAATAAAAATTGATGTTTTTCATAAGTCAAAGTAATTTTTTACAATAAGAAAAGTAGAATGACCAATTAAGAAATTTACAAAATGGAATATTCCAAGAATATTCTATTAACTTTAACGGAATGCATTAACATTAAACTTAAGTGGTACCGGATGCACAAATAATAGAGTTCAGTGGTATCCGATGCCATATTCAAACTTATGTGGTATATCTGCCCAATTCTCAAACTTAAGTGATACCCGAGGTATTTTACCTGGTCATTGTGATTACTAAATTGTGTTATGTTTAAATTTTAATCACTTGAAAAAATTAATATCAATTTTGGTCACTCATTTTAGTAAAACAGGTCACATTTAGTCACTCCCCCGTTAGCTTCCGTCCAACTTCGATCACTTGAATTACTTTTTTTTATGAATGTCACTCGAATTACTGGAACATGTCACATTGTTCACTCTCCGTTAGCCTCCATCCAAGTCCGTTAATTGAGTTGGACGGAAACTAACGAGAGAGTAACTAAATGTGGCATGTTTCAGTAATTCGAGTGACCAAAATTAATTTTTTTCTAGTAACTAAACATGACATAATTTAGTAATCTCTGACTGGCATTTACATAAAAAAAAATAAGTAAGCAACAAAATCGAAGTTGGAAAAGCTAATTGTGCCGCACCTAAATGATACAGCTGCCTATCAAATACCAATGTTGGTAAAGTGGTAATCAATCTAATTGCCCCTGTGATCGGTAAAATTGACAGATTGCACTTTGGTCAGCAGACTCTCTGATGTAAAACACCCAACCAATGGAGTTCCCCAGTTCCCAGTTCCTCAATTGAATTTCTTTATTGTGACAACTAAAAGAGAGTTCTCTATCTACAGCGTTACAAAAGCCTATACAGACCACAACCCTCAAGCATCCAACAGCCCACTGAAGAATAAATCCGAAATCAGGCGGCTTTACTAGGTGCGTCCACCTTGCTTTCATCCGTCGGCAAGTTAATCACTTTCGCTCCATCCATTTCATTCCTCTGTTCTCCATCAGAAGAAGTCGTCCCATTTTGGACAGCAGGGGTATCACCATTTTCCGTTGCAGCCTTCACTGAGTTTTTCGCTGGTTTTGGGAGCTCCCTGGAGGAAGCAGTCGCTAATAGGCGGCTTACCCCATCTAGTAAATTCTTGGCATCCATAACAAAAGCAGCCCCTCCTGGGTAACAGCGGCCAAAGCATGCAGCACAATGTGGAAGAGCGATCTGCAGACAAGGATTTTTCAAAGGATAATTCGAGCTGTAAAACCAAAAGGTAAAAAAAGAGAGAGAGAAGAACAAGCATAGAAGAGTGTCTACCTCTATGAATGCTCTGCAGAGTGAGAGGAAAAGTGCAGACTCAGTTTCTCTGAGCATCCTAGTGGCGTTGTACCTTAACAGAGAGTCTGCAACAGCTTGCAATCCCTTGATTAATTCTACACCAAGCAGATGTTTCAGATTTAGTGGAGCACATGGGCGTAGCTCGTTCATTGCCGCGGATACACCTACAACCAATGAAAAACCGGGCCTTAAGGTCACAAGAACAGAAAACAGCTAGCAAAGCCCACAAGCAATATTCTTTATGACACACCACAAGGTCAAGAAGTCAATAATTCAGCTCTCCAATAAAAGATGACTCTTAGCATTGAGCAAATTTCAGATGGGAAAAGTTAAGAGGTCAAGAGTCAGGAGAAACTACTTCGTAGACACGTCCACAAGGAGTCCATGATATGGATCATTGAGGGGCCACATATTAGAGCCAGTAGCAATAAGCATGCAACCAATCCCCAGGGGAGAAAATGAATTGAAAAATGAAAATCTTATAATGTACCATTAACAAACACTGCTAGAGGTGGATGCTCCATTAGATAAGGCGGTGGAGATATGTCATCTTGGGTCTCTTCACCAATATTACTAGCTGGAAAGCCAACTGCTGGCAGTGGCACCCAGCGATGTGAATCTAAAACCAACTGGTGTAAAGAAAAACATGAAATTAGACAGCATGTTGGAAATAAAGTAAACACGCTGATAAATGTATGGCCTAGCTACTAAGCAAATCCCCACCTGAAAATTTTCAACTGCTGTACCCATGTTCTTTGAGAATAAATTGAGAACCGCCCTGCAAAAATATCGAGGTCATTTTGCATAAGGGAAATTTGGACAAAGCAATACGAGTTAATAGAAGAAATTGACTTACTGTTCAAATAGAGGTGGAAGCAAGCCTCGAAAATCCAGCCCTACACCACCCAGTCCCATTGCACAGTACTGTACACAGCACAAAAAATAGTCATAAACCATCATAACAATCCAAAGGGAAATAAAAGACAGCTCTGGAAATGCTCACCATGCACTGGTCCAGAATATTTGAAAGAGGTCCACCCTCAGTTATCTTTGGGAGCATTATTTTGAGAGTTTTAAGGTGTGAAGTGATCTGATGCATGGCCCAACTAAAAAGAAGTCCACCGTCAGAGTTTTCTTCACTTCCTGATGTATCATCAGCAAATATTGCTCGGTATTGGTTTACAACATCAAAGAGATGCATTCTGTGGCAGTTTATCACTCCCTTCAAGAACTCATAAGCATTCCTTTGGTCCAGATCTTCAAGAATACCTGTAAGCCATGCCTCCCGACATCTCAGAAACTGAAATAGAATACATTTTATCAGGATTATCACATTCTGTAAACAAAAAAGGAATTAGAAAATGTAGTGCAACAGATTACCTGCAGGCGCAATTCATACTCACAGAACACTCCTATTCGACGCAAGTAGCCAATAATGCGGAGGCACTCTGGCAGCTGCATAAAATAGACAAACAAACATGAACAAGAACTTAGATAAAATGATGACTGCTAAACCAACCAAACTTGCAGCCAATGTATTAGTACCTGAACATTAGAACAAAGTTTCTGGAGAAGCTGAGCCAGAAGAGACTGGGTTGTCTGTCTAACTTCACCTGCTAGAGCCTGGATGACAGGCAATCTTTGAGAATGAGGAAAAGTCAGATCACTCATCTTTTCCATAGTTCAATGTCAGAATTAAGTTTACATGTACTCACTTGGGATGTATTGTTGCAAGTTTGCCAACATATGCTTCTAAGTCAAGAGCTTCATCATAATTACCGTTCCTTACACACCTATAATATACGAAATGGATAAATTCGTAACCACATCACAAAAGACACAGGTAGGTGGGAAACACTACATCTTTCAATTCTCATGGTTTCTAGTTAACATGGAAATTCTAACCCATTCTGATCCTATATAAAATTTAAAACTCAGGGAAAAGAATGGACAACTTTACAACATTCACGAATAACACAACTTCATGCATCCAGTATATTGGTTTTCAGCAAGGCATAACAATTGGCAGTAACTTGGTAAGGATTAGTGGCTCAGCCTTCAGCATAAAGTTTGCCAAGTACATACGTGTCCATAAGTTGTGGAATTTCAAGCAAATCGAGCAATGTACTATGGTTTGAGAGCAATGTTTGGTTCATCTTTCGCTTCTCCAGGACCTCTTCTGCGGATTCAATGAACTCAGTGCAGCCAGATATTAATTCAGGGATTTCAGAAATCTGTCAAAAAGAGGAAATATCAAATGGCATTCTGATTAGTTCAGCAAACTTTAATATGAAATTACTGAGAAGAAAGGTATCGCATATCTCCTTCAGGAATATACCATATCACTCATTCACATTCATATTCCTTGCGTCAATTCATCAATCTTACTGGGACGATTAAAATAAACACATGTGATAGTTTCTGATGTGGCTAAGCAAATCAACTAAGGTAGCTGATACAGAAAGCTGTATAATTGGGCAACAATGAATGACCTTTTAGCAGAGAAGGTAGTTTGATACAGAGCCCAAACCATGATACCATAGGATGACATGTTCATTGCAGCTACTGAAGATTAGGGAGTTTCTCTTACTCTAGCTTCCCCTTAACTATGCAGTGTAAATATATATTTCCAAAGACAACTAGCATCCAAGACATAATGATTTAGGCTAATACCAATAAATTCAATGTAATACATAAAACTAATAATTCACAGAAACAAGGACGTGACAAGGGAAAGGGCAATGCATGCTTCAAATAACCAACTTCCTGTCTGCATTGTATGAGCAACAAGCAGCCCAAAAGAATCAACCAGCAGCTCAAAAGAATCAACCAGCATAAAAGATGAACAGGATAACTTTGATAGTAGTCTTTCTTACTAGTGATTCCAGAAGCTTATCCACATTGGACACTTCTTCTCTAATCGCATTTAAAGCATCAGTGGCAACAATGAAGGCGTGGTAGTTCCCCACTGCCACCTCCTGCATTTGCCTCTCTATTCGCTCAGCATCAACCCTAAGTAACTCAGGTTCCTTCCAATGCCATATCAGAAGCTAGTTAGACTAGTACTTAAGATTAAGATTCCCCCATAATTCGACCAAACAAAACAAAAACAGAGAAGTAGGGGAAAAACTATTCATGGAATTCGCTTACTTTGTGGAGACGATCCAGAGTAAAGGATAGAAGTTCAGATACGTAAGGCTGCTGAGAGGCGGAAGCAAGAGGAAGAAGTGTCGCCATAACGGATGCTTCATCCCCATTTTCAGCGCCCATTCCTCTGCTTAGTAAGTTTGAAGCCAGATGGAGTCAAAATCTATAACTGAAACAGGGGAGCTGGATCTCCAGAGAAAGGATTGCATACTTCAGCTAAGTAAGGTTTACAGTGCAACTAACATACAAGTTAACTTATTAGACTTTTCCGTCAACCACGGATGTCTAGAGACGTTCTGGTAACTAAGATGATGAATATCGCCATGGGAAGAAAGACCAGTCTGCGATCAGTCAGAATTAACATAATAGCTAAGGAGTATTGTAGAAAAGCTTATTCCAGAACCTACATTCAACTCCCCTGCAAACATACTCAATTACACGTTACTGCTCACCCATTCGAATCTCGTTTCCTTCTATTATCACCAGTTCATAGGAGAGGGAGCCAGAATCAAACTTACCTAATGAATGTGGCAACAGATCGAAGAATTCGACAGAGTCTGGAAACAAACGTCAGATACTTCGGATGAGCAGATAGGCCGCGGTGCCAGCGATTGCGGATTGAGCGGCGGAGGCCGGAGGGGCGACGAAAGGATCGCGGATACGATTCCTTCAGATCTGGAGGGACGATGTGAATCGACGGCGGCGGGCTCGGCGACAGTAACGTGGTGGATCTCGGATGGAAGGTTTTGGGAGATGGAAATGAGTGGCGATTGGCGAAGTGGGAGTCAGGGAGAATTGTCCGCAGCTTGGCAATTGAAAAATGAGGGGTTTTTCACCAAAGAATAAAGATGGTAGGGTGAGTTGAGAATTTGTTTGGATTTTATTTTCCCTTGCATGTCCACCGCCTGGTTGAGGGATTGGGGAAAAGTTAATCCGCTAACTTGAATCAACTAACTTATATTCAAATTACATGAAATAATATATCCAAGTATTAAAGTATCTAGAGAGCACAGATTAATATTCAAAATTTGTTAACTGATATCCACCATGAATCAACTATTATCACAAATTCACAAACTAATATCTAGACAACACAGAATAGTATCCAAACAGCACATAATTAGTATCCAGATAACACATAAGAGTATTTAGATAACTCATAAGAGTATCCATATTGAATACTAGTTGGTTGATTGTGGATATTAGTTGGTATCTTCTATATGGATACTAGTTTGTGATGTTTTGAGTACTAGTTTGTGTTATCTGAATACTTAGAATACTTGGATATTAGTTCATATATTTTGAATATTAGTTAGTATATACTAACGAATTTTCAAGTTAGCAGATTAACTAGGTTGGAGGAAGTGGCCAACTAAAATCGTTTAGGAGCAATTTTCAAAAAAAAAAAATTGTTTAGGAGCAAGGTTGTCAACCCGCGGGTCGACCCGCGGGTTGACCCCCTTTGACCCTGACCCGATGACCTGCGGGTTGACTCACTTTGACCTTGACCCGGTGAGAAAAACGGGTCGCACGCATTCGTCGGGTCGACCGCTACAAGGTACCGGGTTGGAGGTCAAATTGTGTCATTTTTTTCTTTGTTTTGCGAAATGCGCCTATTTTCCGATTTTTTTTTCGCCTAACTCAATCTTTGGAATTCTAAGTTGAACATTTGAATATTAATGTTATATAAGTGTGTGTGAATTTTCACTATATGTTGAATCTAAGTACGAAATGTTATTTTGGTGTAATATTATATGTTATAACTCATATGTTAGATGAGATTTGATATAATTTATCAGGATAAGTACAATATAATGACGCTTTCCATATTTCCGGGCTAAAACGGGTGACCCATTAACCCTTGACCCACTAGCTCAACCGGGTCCGGGTCAACCCGCGGGTTGACAACCTTATTTAGGAGTGATTTGGATCAAGGATTTTATAAAGATGGATTTGAGGTCTAAATTTCTGATTAAAAGTTTTGGGGATTTTGGATGTAGAATTTAGCCCAATTATGTGTTTGGAAATGTATTAAAGATGTAATCCAATTTAAACCAATTACACATTTACCCCCCTCTCTTCTTCTTCCTTCACTCTTCCTGGTTTCCGAAACATGATCTTCTGCCTTCCGATTTCCGAACTGATCAATTTGAATTTCGGTTTCGGTCGGTTCGGCTTCGGTTCTGGTCGGTTCGGAGAGTTGAACCCGAACCGGATGCCCACCCCTATTCTCCACCGATCTCCAACAAGAGCTCGACTACATCTTTCTCCTTACAAAACTTGCTCAATCCTTCCCTCTCAGACATACCTCTCTTTCACCTTCTTTTTTTTCTCTCATGCGAGATCTATCATTGTCAGGGGAGGTCACCTCTCTCAGACGTCGTCTTCTCTCACCATGATGCCATCCTCCCTCATCGTTTCCAAAACTCATATATGATGTTTTATACTGCGATAACTTATATGAAATGGTACTGATTTGTTTATATTGGTTTTCCATCGTGGTAACTGGTACTACTTTGGGTGTAATGATATTGTTTTTTGTACAGGTAGTGTTTTTTACTCTAGCAATGGTTTTTATGAACTGGTAGCTTCTTTTATCCATCTAATATTGTTTTTATGCATATAGTAGTGGTAGCATGGAAACTCTCATTCTCATTTTCAATACACATAATGTTAAGAAGTGTTAAATGCGGAAAATTGGGAAGAGGGTCTTAAATTTAAGACCCTCATATCCACTTAGCAAATTTCTCATGAGGGATGCACGCGGGAGCAGTTTGTGCGCCGCATGCATGCAGGGGAAGCTTCCCTCGCACACGGGTGCGAGCCTTAACCTGTCATCACACATGCCTTTGTCCTTTTATTTTTGTTTGTTTAATTAAAATTATTTGTTAAAGAATTAATTAAATTTCATTCGTCGCAAAAGTTATTGAAATAAAACTTGGATTTTATCTGTTTATTAATTAAATATTATTCGAAGTCTATATAGTATTTTTTTTACTCAGGGTATGTCGTACCCTTGATTTTACCCAAGGTACGATAGAACCGTCCCCATATATATATATATATATATAACCTCTCTCTTTACTAGGAATGACAATTTCGACCAACCCGTTTTACCCGGCCTGTTTAACCTGTTTTGGGACGGGTCCAACCCGTCCCGTAGGTGGGTCGAGCATGGGTACTTTCATCGACCCGACCTGCCCTGACCCGTCCCATTTTTGACCCGTTCTTGCCTAAATTACATGTAATCTTAGTCAAATTACTTAAAATTTTCCTTTTACTACATCATATTTTAGCTATAATAAAGTTATAAATTAGTGAACACCTCAATTTATACAATAATTTAGCTATTTTACCATATTACGGTTTGTTTCTTTGGCCTTATAATGAAAATAACGGATATTTCTAATGTTTTCCACATAATTTACATACCTATTGGGTCGACCTGCCCCAACCCGTGCCCCATGATAAATTACCCAACCTGGACCTGACCTGCCACGAGGCGGGTATGGGTATCGAGATACCTGCCCCGGACCTGCCCCATTGCCATTCCTACTCTTTAGGGAGCTCTTGTGGCAGCCTCGTCGTTGGACCAACGACGGGAAGTAATTCTGGGGGTAGTACTTGGCGCAGTTATTTGATATAGCTCCGGAGAATCGGATGAAATATCATCCTCCAGATCGCTTTAATGACGGTTTTCGGATCCCTCGGGGGGTTAAGAAAAAAGGCAAAGCGAGATGGCGCGATTGCCTTATCGGTCAGTTTGCCGGATCACAACCTAGGGCGGCACAGCTTCAAACCTGGGCTACTGCAATCTGGGGGAGAGACGGGGTGGTTCGGGTTTCAAGTTTTGGGCCTCGATTGTTTGTGTTTCAATTTCCCTCCGCATCTACCAGCAACTGGGTGTTCAAGTCGGGTTCTTGGCATTACCAAGAGAATCAGCTTTATCTTAGGAAGTGGGTGCCTGGTATTCAACCGGTGGTGCCTCAGGTGGAGTATTTTTCCTATCTGGATCAATATTTGGGGGATTCCATTGGATTATCACTCTCTGGATGGATTGGAAGTGGAACGGGTAGCAAGTATTCTAGGTCCTCCGCTCTGGATGGATAACACGACTAGAGTGGGTGGTCAGTTGGGATTCGCTAAGGTTTGTGTGGATCTCACAGCAGAGTGTGGCTTCCCTTTTAAGGTTTGTCTGTACCCTGATGATGATCCTTACTTCGATGTTGAGATTGAATATCATAATCTGCCTAGGGTTTGTCCGGTTTGGACTGTGTATGGTCATGACTGCACTTAGCTGGCCAAGAGTAATAAGAAGTGGGGTGTGAAGGAGAAACAAGGTGATGTTGTGGTCTCTCTCGACTCTTCTAAATCTAGATAAGAAGAGGCTGCTGCTAATATAATGGTTGAGTCATAGTGCAAGTGGTTTTACATGCAGAGGAGAAACAACTGTATTTGGAGAATGTTGAGAGTAGTACTACTGTCAATCTGGATACTAGCTCATCGGGAACTAATGATGATGTGGGTTAGATGAAGTATCTTACTCCTCAATCAAATGGGAGTGCAACTATTAAGTTTTGTAGATGTGGTTCTAGGATCATCAGTTCAACCTGGGAGTCCTAGTCCATCTCTGCATAAGTTTGCTGATGCTAGTTCACCAGTCACTTGGAGGCTATCTTCTCAGACTAATTCAGTTTTAAATGAGGAGGAACCTAATCCGTGGATCATAGTAGGAGGCTCAAAGAAAAAGCCACATACTCCTCCAGTTGTTGTTGTGCTAGTCCTTCCTCGGAAAAGGGGGGAGGGTAGGGAAGAAACGATGAAAATCCTTACATGGAATGTCTGAGGATTCAATGACCTGGGTAAGAATAAGGTTGTTCAACAGATAGTAAATAAATACAATATAGATATTATAGTTGTACTTGAACCTAGAGTTGGAGCAAACAAAGCTTATGATATGATTAATAAAAGGTTTCGTGCATGAGGGTTTGAAGTGGGAAACAATTGTGCTGGTTTGGGCAAGGTATGAATTCTTTGGAAGGCTGATGTAAAGCTCTAGGATATTGCATAAAACATATATGTTTATTCAAGTATTGGTTGGATCTGGGGTACCTTTCTTCCTCTCTATGGTCACTACATTTAATGAGGAGGCTGATAGAAGGCAGTTGTATGCAGATTTGTTGTATTTTCAAGAAAGTTCTATTCCTTGGGCTATTCTTGGTGATTTCAATGCTATTGGGGATCCGAGTGAAGCTTCTAATACTCCTCGGTTTTAGAGATGGCCAAAATATCCGTAACCGTGGATATCCGCCCGAATCCGCCCAAATTGATTAGAATAAAACCCTAACCCGAAGGACTTTTAGTGGGTACAGGTAAAACCCGAACCCGAATATTGTGGATAAAGGGTGGGCATGGTTTTCGCACTATCCAACCCGAACCAGCCCGATTATGCACATACATGTGTATTTTGTCTAGAAATGATCATTGTTTCTCTAACATATTTTATATTTAGCATACAAATATAATATTTTCATGAATTGTGTTGTTTTAATTAATTTTTTTCATTCTAATGATTTATTGTTATACGTTTCTTCTTATTTAATGTGATTATATATGTGAATATTAACATATTGGTTGGAGTTTTAGAGAGAAATTATTATCCATGAATAATCGTGGATACCCGAAACCAGAACGGGTATGAGCGCGGCTTTTATTTTCTACCCATTTCTCATGTGGGTATGGGTATGGGTAAAACCCAAACTACTTCGGGTAGGATAACAGATATACACTATACGTCCCCGACCCGACCCATTGCCATCCCTACTCAGTTTTCAAGTAGTATGGTTGATTTCAAGAAATGGCAATATGATTGTGAGCTAGAAGAGTATAAATCCTT